GAGGAGGAGCGGGGGGAGGGGGGGGGGTAGGGGAAGGAAACTCCAGAGAAGTTTGCCACTGACCCCTGCTGCCAGATCTCGAGGAGGAACTTGTACATGGCCCCTCTGCTGGATTTTATCAGGTGGGTAGACTTGGAATAGGTAGTCTTCATAGGCACCCCGCTCCCAAGCCCACAGGGCTTCAGCAGTGATCAACAACACACCACTATCTGCAAACTAAGTGTATTTGCATTCACATTCCTCAACTACATGGCTCCGTTGTCAGCATAATGACTCATTACACATGTATTCATAAATACATTAAATAAGGGGACTTCACACATCTTTATCCTGCTCCCTTGCTCAGTGTTAAATCAGTTGCTAAGCATTCCATTTACTTACATCACATTCAGCAATCAGCCTTCAACTCCATATTCACACACATATTCCATAATGTAAGCCTATTCACCATTCCAACCCCGTGATTCTACACTATATGACTACCATTCACTTCTTCTAAAACCACTCACATACCTGCCTACCCCCAAATCTGCACATTCTGTACATCTCCTGCCAACAATGTCACAACGAACTTCCCAAATTTGTCATCTCCTTCCTTGTCATTGCCTTTACCCTTTCAATCAGAATTTTGCCAAATAATTTTCTAGGCTCACTTAAAAACATGAAGCCCCCTGAAATGTCCATATTCACTCTTGCTAACTTTCCTTTTGTATAGGGGAACAATAATTGTTCCAATCATCAGACCCAGATGCTGCCCTAAGGCACATTAAACAACTCGAACTGCTATTCCATATACAAACCACATCCATTTTCTAACCCTTCTTTATTTACACCTTCTACATCCACAGCCTTGCAGCTTTCCATACTTTCGCAGCATTTATTCCTTTTTTTTCTTAGACACTAACATTTCCAGAATTCATTTAAAAATCACTATTTGACGAATCTTACAATTTCTATGCAAATATCTGAAATGCTCCATGCAACAGTCACTCACTTCTACTTCTTTCCAAATTATTTCATCACTTTTATTTCTATTCCATTCATTCTGCTGAGGGATTCTTGTTTAGTCCTCTTCACACATTCCCAAAGCTTTTTTTAAAAATTCACATTAAAAAAAAAAACCACTCCTTTACACACCTACGCACTTTCTCACACTGGTATTTTTTCCATCAGAATGCCATTGCATCATCCAGTTCTCATAGGAACTATTTGCTGTTTGGGGAACTAAAACTTGCTGTGTCTTCCTTGAAGTTGTCACTATGGATTCTCTTCCAACTGCTACTGAAGCTGAAATCTTCCTAAAGAAAACTTTCAACCTTTTTGGCCTGGTTTTGAGTGGATCTTATGTATTCCATCTTTTGTATAAGTCCAGTCACACAAAGCTGATGAAACTGATTGTAACCATATAATGCTATAAAATACCAAAGTATGGTGCATTGCTTAATGCAATTATCATGGTAACAAGCTCAATCAAAGATTTTAGTCCAGGCATGCTTATGCTATTCTATGCAAGCCAAGATCTCTAATCTAGAGACTATCTTGGAAGCCAACAAAATATTGCCCACAGCTCATCAACCAGGAGCTGCTTGTAGGGTGGTAACACACTCAAGTACATGTACAAAAAAGATAAACAGTATTATTAAAAACATGTTTTCATTCAATATTCCTTTAAAAAAAAAGTCATACATATTCCTCATTAAAGTCACAAAAATTATAGAAACAGAAAGTTGAAAGGGTCATTTGTGGTCATTTATTCCAACCCCGCTCAGAGCATCTTTGACAGATGACCATTCAGCCTCCTTTTGAAGATTTCCAACAATGCAGAACTGACCACTTCCTGTGGCAACCTGTTCCACTGGGTGACAACTCATACAGAGTCAGGAAGCTTCTCCTGAGATATAGCCTGAGCCTCCTACTTTGCAGTTTTCACCCCTTGATTCTGGTCCTGCCCCCTGCGGCAACCGAGAATAAGTCTTCTCCCTCTTCAGATATTCGAAGACTGCTGTCATCTCCCTTCAGATATCTCTTCTATAGGCTAAACATACCCAGACCTTTTAACCGTTCCTCACAGAGTTTGGTTCTTGGCAGCCACAGAAATTATAAAATACCAATAGTAAAGTTAACATTAAGTTAAATTAAATCACACCTCCCACCCCTAACAACGTCACAATTCACTCTAAAGCCATGGAATAACTCGGCTTTAACTAGCTTCCAGAAAGCTACTATTGAGGAAGCCTTTGAGCTTTTCCCAGTTAGGAAGCTTGCAGAAAATGCAGTGGAAGTTAACTGAACCATCAGCAGCTGGAGGCCAAGTGTAACATAAAACATTCCCATTCATTACAAACAACCCAATATATAAAAAACACAGTGCCATATTATGAATCACTCTTGAATGCAGATGCTTCTACAACGCCAGGCTCCTGGTGGTCCCCATGAAAAACATTACCTGGCCTCCCTGGGTCCTCCACAACAGGTGGGATTCTGTTACGGGGGCTCTGCGTAGAAATTTTCACTGTCTTGTCTGAATCCTTGCTGGGCCGGCTTGTTGTCAGCTGCTCTGGCATCACGGCATTGGGATCTAAGAACAAAGAGGTAAGAGTTGGGGTGAAAAACTGAGGTCTGTAGCAGGGGGAGGATGCTTGAGGGCTCAGGTGGGGGTACTGGTCTGCATTAGGGCATTATCATCTCAGCAACAGCCAGCAAGTGTAGTTCATACATTTTCCTGTAACTGCTACAAAGTTCCATACAACCTGTCCTCTTAAGGCTCCCCTCCCCTCCCCTCCCCACTACACACAGGCCTCTGTCTTGCAGGACCAGGCACAGCACTGTGTTCACTGGCCCAAAGCTGCGTTTAGACAAAAGAAATAGCTTCAGTCTAAAGTGAGTGCCAAGTTGGAAGCCCTGCTTTCTGTTTAACTATGAAGCTGCTCACAGATATCTCCAATTCTGTAATTAAATCGAAAAACATGCAACTCTTTATGTCACACACAGGTCCATTTCAGTGGTTCTTTTGACATCTAGGCTTTCCAGCAAAACAGGGAAGGGTGGAGATAATTGGCAGATTATATAGGAAGCTCCTGAGATTGCTGAAGACCTTGTCTGCAGCCACCAGAGGAAGGTGTTTTACTCCCCTCTTCCTGTCAAGAACCCAACAAACCGCTGCATTCAAAGCTAGAATTAAGTTTTCATAATGGTTGTTTAATCAGCCCTCGGCTTACTTCCATTTGTTCAGGGACTGTCCAAAGTTATGGTGGCACTGAAAAAATGGACTTATGACCGGTCTTCAAAGTCCTGGCTGCTGCAGCACCCCCGCAGTCACATGATTGCGATGCTGCCGCTCAGGTGCCCAGCTCGTGATTATGATGTTGCAGCGAGCCGCGTGCATGGGCTCGCCATTTGCGACCTTCCCTGCCAGCTTCCCACAAGCAAAGTCAATGGCGAGCTGGCAGGGAAGATCACAAGTCACTCCAGTAAGTCACTCTCATTGCCTTTTCTCCCCAGGAACCCCGCTATGGAATATGCGATTATACAGGATCTCATACCGGAATCTCTAAGTCTGTTCATAAGTTCAGACACTACGGAGATGAATACAAATCTAAATGCACAGCACATGATGAACAAGTGAAGCAGGCAAAAGTGATGAAAGGTTCTGAACCTGTTTGGTAGTGTCAGGGGTAGATCTTGGGGAAAAGGGATATGAAAGAAAAGGAAAGAAGTGAAAGAAACTACAGAAATGAAAACAACTGCAGGAAGCAGAATGAACTGATATTCACTACCACTAGGATGGAAAGTGGCCTTAATGAAAAAGGATGTCCAAGTTACCCAGACCAAAGAGGGAAAAGAATTTTGTGAGATTGTGCCCCAGAAATGTACTGCAGCAGAGAAAGGTGAAAAGGGAGGCTCAATGAAATGATGAAGTGAAAAATACTGTGGATGAGAGGATGGTGTAAGAAGGGAGCACGTAACCTGTGTATAGTTGGAAAGAATACAGTCAAAGAGAGCAAGGAACGTTTAAGATTAAAAACATGACAGAAAATGCAGAGCAATTTTGAAGGAAATACAGCAGAGTTTATAATCATCTGTAAACTGAGCTCATGAGTAAATATGTCTTAATCTTGAAACACAAGGGTAGTACGCAACCAAGCCATCTCTGGCAATGCAGGGAGATCCTTTGAGGGCTGTTGTGGCCAAAACCTAGCTCACCTAAAGCAACTAAATCACTTTGAAGATACTACATAATTGTATTAGCATGCAATCAATAAACAATATATGCCAGCCTCCCAGCAAAGCTGTGGTACTTTGCTGAGCAGCCCTGAGCAAAAGCAGAACCAGAATTTATATTCCTTTGGACTACTACGTTGCAAAGACAAGACAAAGGAAAAAGGCAGACACAGTGGAAATTGCAGCAAATGAGCCAACTTCCAGAAAAAAAGATCCACAGCCAGACTCCTGATCCAGTAGTAAAATCCATCAAAACTGTATGCCAAGGCTGCTTTGCCAAGAGAACAGCTGGCTTGTGTGGCAAAGGCTGGCCTGATGGCGGGCATGACAAGATAGGTTTCCACATTTGTTCTGATACAAAAATCCAGGCATGACACCAGCTGCCTGGAGAACAACCCCTAGAGCCAAATCAGGAGGACACTGGAACAACAAAGGGAAGAGCATCATCAGGATGACGAAGGAGGGGCTGAGAGGCAAACACTTGTTTGAGTGCCTTGAACAGGGCCTCTGAGTGAGCTTTTTAGTACAACTGGCAAGGTTAGGGACAAAACCATGGACCTCTTTTCATACTCCTTGGAGGATGCCAGGACAGGATAAATTCTATTTTAACAGGACCCCCATTTGGATGCTGTCCGAAGAGATGTAATAGTTCAAGTAATCCAACAACTGGTGCTGGTGCTTAAGGACAATCTTCACATGTACGTAACTGGGTCTTCAGAATAAATCAGAAAGTTATCTAGCCAAACAACTGTGAAGGAGTTCAAAATGCCACAGAATCTCCTTCATAAATCTCATAATGATCAAAGGGGCATTAGCCAAACCAGAAGACATCACAATAGACAAGAGCAGTTCAATATTTGTATTCGACCTTCATACCAGTTAGATTATCAGCCCTCCTACAGATCTAGTTTAGTAAAAATGCCTGGCTTCTATGGCCATCCCAGACGTTAAGCGAACAGCTGGAGAAGGAAAGCGATTGCTAACTCTTCAAAAGTCTGAAATCATGAACCCCTCTTGGAGAACCAACCTTCTTATTTGAAAAAAGTGCTGGGGTTAAGGCTGAATGTGCAGAGTGCCTATAAACTCTTTCAATAAATTGTCATCAATAAATTCCTTTAAATAAACTAACTCATGTGCAGGCATCGGCCACTGGCATTGACCAATGATTTGAACACCTGAAACCAAGGTTACAGCATGGTGACAAGAACAAGGAGGGGACAAATTACATGCCTCCTCCTCTCCAAAAACATCAGCCATGTTAGAATACTTTGCAGGTAAAATAGGAGAAAATTTCTGTTGATCAGTGGAAAGAGGAACATGGAGGCCTAAACTCTGCAAACGATCCCTTGGATGTGGATTAAAAATCTGAAGCTGATCCATCCCCAGCACAACGGGAACATGCAAGGAAGTCAAACAGAATTGTAACATTTCTTAATGGTTGGTGGTAGAGAGCAGTGTGTTTAGTAATCAGGTAATAAAGCTCAAAAATTTATGTCTGAACCTATCTGAGAACAGAGAATGACAAGCAAAATAAAATGTCCGTCTGAGCTCCACTTAATTGTCAGAGGACCCCGTTTCTGGGCTCTTGAAAGGGAGGCCTCATTCTTTTATTGAGACAGCAAGTTTGGAACAATCAAGATTCTTGCTTGAAAAATGACAAGAATTACACTTCCCCTTAAACTCAGAGTGAGGAAGTTTATCAGGACAGGCAAGTACAGAATGTGCACACACTCCGCAGTATAAACAGAGACCAAGTGTACTTCTGTATGGGTTTTCTTTGAACGGACAAGGGTTATACTTGCACCAAATTCTTTAAAAAAGCAAAAAATCCATGGGATAGGGGGGAGGATATGGAAAGGGAATAAAGTTTCCTCTTTTCCATCTCCACTCTTAGCTGTTCTAGCCTTCCGTCTTATTTATTTATTAATTAAACTTGTCCCCCGCACATCTCCCCTCAATGCGGGGGGAGATTATTATGAAGGTTATTATGTAGATTATCGTGTAGGTCTGGAACAGCTCCTCTAAGACGTCTGGTATGCCCTGTCAAACTAGCTTATCTTGCAATTCCTCAGATAGACCTCCCTTAAATAGGCCAATTAAAGTAGTTAATTCCAGCCCACATCTCTAGACTAAATTTTAAAGTCAGCTAACTACACCTGCATTCTGTTTTTATCTCAGCACAATCAGCAAATTTAACAATTAGCATTTCCCTTCTGGCAGGGTCATCAAAGACAGATCGCGGTTTAAGCATAAAACTGGCATAATAATCCAGGACAGGGTCACTATTATTTATAATTGAAATTGTGCATTTGGCAACTCTATCTGAAAAAAAGCCTATGTATAAATTCCACCTAAGAATGATCTGTGGGAAACCCACTTGGTCTCATATACATCACATCACACTGAATTAAGCTTTAAACTTCTCTGAAATCCTGTCAAATTTGTCAGACAAGCATCCAAGAGATTGAAGTAGCATAGCTTTAGGAAACAGGACATTTGGAAGCACAGGAGCAAGTGGTGACTGAAGCTGTCCTAGGGATCGCTTGAATTAAATGGTTAATCCGGACCCCTACCTAGTCCTGGTGCAGGTCACTTGATTCTTATACTGGAGCAAAGAGTTGGCAAGTGTTCTAGTCAGTTACCATGGTCTGACCATAGAAAATCAAATCAAAATTAATTTCCAAGTAGAGGAAGCAAGGGCTAATTGGAATTAATGTCAGACATCTCAGATAGCTACCTGGACTGGAAGCGGTTAATCTGAAGAATAACTCTCTTAAATTAGATTGACAGGTAGTCCTCACTTAACAACTGTAATTAGGACTGGCAACTCTATCACTTGTGACATGATCATTAAGTGAAACATCATGTGGCTGTGCCTGACTTATGTCAGTTCTGCTGCCATTAAGCAAATCACCTATGGTCATCAAGTGCAACATCATGTGACCATGACTTGAGACTTACTGCTGGCTTCCCCACTGACTTTGCCTGTTGGAAGCTGGCTATGAAGGTCACAAATGGCGATCATGTGACCACAGGACACTACAACCATCATAAATGCATGCCGGTTGCCGAGCACCCGAATCACAATCACATGACTGCAGAGACGTTGTGACCGTAACTTCAAGGACCAGTCGTAAACCCACTTTTTCAGTGCCGTTGTAAGTTCAAACAGTCACTAAAAAGGGCAGTCAACAATCGAGAACTACCTGTAGCAACAAAGGAATTCTGGCAAGTATTCTGTTTTCAAATGAGATAACTATATATAAGGAGATTATGGCAAGAAGGCACTAACCTTTTTGGGGGGGGGGGTTCTTTCACATGCACGTGAAAGGTTTGTCATTTCTGAGGAGGTCCAGC